AAAAAAGCTAACTACTTTTGTGGGGCGATGGCCGCAAAAATGTCAGACCTGGGTACCTCTGCACTACATGTCAACTAACTTGTAACTAACTACTTTTGGACATAAAATATCAATAAGAAAAACAAAATATTTTTTTGTTTTTTTACTTTTTTATTTACTTATTTATTTACTTTATTTTATTACATTTCATATTTGTTTACATATTCTGCTCTGGGTGGCCCCATATTCGAACACCGTCAGACATAACTTCAAAATGATAGTATAAAATTTCGATCTTCCTTTTATTTGTCATGAATATGAAAAAGAATCTGCGAAGTTCAGAAAAAAAGTGTATTGAAAGTAATTTTTGTATGAGGATATTTAATAGAAACTTGTAAAGAAAACCAACTCCCGATTGCGTCTGCATGACTCCTGCACGACTTTACAATTCACTTTAAGTTGGTTTTGTCATAGCTAATTAAAAGTGAGGTATTAATCGAAATCTCGCCAAAAAGCTAACTATAAGTTGGTTAGTTTTAACAATTGATAATTTTTCACTGCAGGGCATATATGTACGTAAATATTTGTATGTAGGTATGTATGCGTGCGTGCGTACGTGTACAAAGAAGTTTTTTACATTATTCATATAAATTTCCATAAGTTTCAGTCTTTGTCTAAAACATTAAACGGGTTGCAAAATTTTTAACAAAATTTCAAAAATTTTTTTTACAGTTTTTAGACATTTTTTGGTGTGCAGTTTTACAGCCGATTCAATTTTAATAAAATAACACCGCAGAAAAGTTACACAAAAACCCCGAAACACATAAATGAACTTAATATTACATTAAGGATATCGTTTTTGCAGATCAGGTAATTTTCCCAAGATATTTTCATATTTATGACAAAAAACTTTAAACTTTAACAAGAAAAAAAAATACACATATGATTTTTTTCATTTGCAAACAAAATTAAGCTTCTAACGATAAAAATCTATTGAGAAATAAACAATTTCTGATTGGTCAGATGGAAATGTGCAATAACTTCTTCTATGAAATAAGAGCACTCATGCTCATACGTCATATCGGGCAAGGCCGTACTCTTATGTACATGGCGTATGAATAACATTTTCCATGTTAATGTTTGAATATTTATAAACGAGCGCACTTGTACACAAGGGTATATTAATTTTGTTCACATAACGGTTGTTTGTAACAGCCAAAACGAATCGAGTTAGATATAGACAAATGTATACATAAATGCTCAGAATGAATAGAGAAATCGATTAAGCATCCGTCCGTCGGTCCGTCTGTCCGTCCGTCTGTCCGTCCGTCCGTGTACACGATAACTCGAGCAAAAATTGAGGTATCTCAACGAAATTTGGTATGTAGGTTTCCGCTAATCCAAGGTAGGTTGTTATTGAAAATGGGCGAAATCGGACTGTAACCACGCCCACTTCCCATATAACGGTAATTTCCAGAAATACGAAAACTGCGATATTTTGGTAACTACTGAAGGTAATTCACTTAAAATTGATATTTACAATAATTTTCAGACGAGAAATAAGAATATTATAAATTTTTGGAAAATGGGCGTAGCCACGCCCACTTATGGTGACATGTGTATATCTTGGTAACCGCTGCACCAATTTCTTCCAAACACAGTTCTTCCACAGTTGTTGGCCCTGGTACAGCATACTAAAATCGGACCATAACCACGCCTACATCCCATATAACGGTAATTTAGAGAAATACTAAATCTTCGATAAATCAGCAAATATTAAAGCTAACTTATTCAAAATTGATGCTCGCAACAATTCTTTACCAAGAAATACGTTTATGGTTAAATTTTGGAAAATGGGCGTGGCACCGCCCACTTATGATCACATATATGTATATCGGTAACCGTTCTACCAATTTGTACCAAACTCGGTATTTTTATTGTGCTTGCCACATAAAAGCAAAATGTTGAAAATTATTGAAATCGGACTAAAATTACGACCGCTTTTCATATAACGGTAAATTTCAGAAATGCTTGAAACTTCAATATTTCGAAATTTAAGGACGCTAATTTACTCAAAATTGATACACCCCGGCTTACCATCTAGCGGTAGGTTTCGGAAAGGTGAAAAAACATATATTTAATACTTGCTCCGGGTATTTAATGTTCGGCTCCACCCGAACTTAGACTTTCTTACTTGTTTTTAATTCGCAATGTAAACTTATATTATGTTCACATATAAAGAGATTAGCAATAAATCTGCGTTAACTAAACTACCCGTTCACATATAGGAGTTTGGCTGCAAAATTGACAATCAGCTGTCAAGATTGTTTTGACAAGTTTTTTGTTCATGGACAATAGTTTGGTGGAACATTTAAGTGTTTTTCGTTTGCTAAATTATTATTAATTATTAACGATATGGAAAGAAGGCAAAAAGATGCAATAGTTCAATTAATTGCGCAATTGGCTTCCAGTAATAGACAGTTGGAAGAGATCCGAAAAAGGCGGCTACTGAGATTGAAAAAAATTATGGCAGCAATACGAATGCGAAACTCTTTATTATATTTTATAATAAGGAATAACACGCCAAAGCGTCTGTGGACACACGTAAGCAATTATAGCAGCTATTTTTTTTTTATTAGTGAATATAATAATCAACGCTTTTATGTGTATTGTAGGCGAGACACGGTAAGTTCTGGGAGCTGGACATTCCTGCCAGCAGCGACCAATTTTTTAAGGAGTGCTTTAGAATGAGCCGCGAATCCTTCGCCTTTTTATGCAACGAGGTGACGTCCATTGCAAAAGCCGATACAACTTTTAGGAAATGCATCCCTTTAGATAAGCGTGTCGCGATTGCTTTATATGCGCTTGGTTCCTCAGCTGAATACAGGACAATCGGCCGGCTGTTTGGAGTATCAAAAGGAAGCGTTTGTAATATTTTAATAGACTTTTGTTCTGCGGTATGGGACAAGCTCGCTCCTAAGTATTTACCCAGCACATTCCTTACGCAAGAAAAAATTGAAGAGTGTGTTAAGGGATTTGAGAAAATTGGATTTCCTCAATGTCTCGGCGCTGTCGGTAAGTTGTACATATAATGTAACTAGTGTTCAAAAATTAAAAACTAGTTTGATTAACTTCAGATGGATGCCACATTGAAATAAGACCATCAGCCGCTGATGCTGTAGACTATCATAATTATAAGGGTTGGTACTCAATGGTTTTACTAGCCCTCGTTGACTACAGGTAACCGTGTCATATGTATATTTATACGTTCGGTGAAAATGCTCAACTTAATTTTTCATAGGTATAGGTTTATGTATATAAATGTTGGAGCACCCGGCCGCTTCAACGATTCTCAAATTTTCGAAAAATCATCATTAAAACGAATTCTCCAAAGCCCTCTTCTCAGCGAGAATGCGAAACCAATATCTGGCACAAATGTTCCAATCGTTGTGCTGGGAGACTCAGCATTTCGCTTTACGCAATTTCTAATGAAGCCTTATCCTTACAACGCAACAGCCGGAAACAGCGAAAAGGTGTTTAATTATCAACTTTCCAAATCTAGAAGAGTAGTAGAGAATGCCTTCGGCCACTTGAAAGCAAGGTTTAGAAGAATTGGTAAAGGCATTGATAATGACATCAAAAATGCAACATCAATAATAAAATGTTGCTGTGTCCTGCACAATTTCGTTAATGAACGTAATGATAGCATTAACAACAATTGGATCCAAATCCAAACCAATTTTGAAATCGAACATCTACGACAGCAACCAGAACCGCCCTACAATACTCAAAACTACAATCCCAGCGCGGAAAACATAAGAGAATCAATCGCTTCATTTTTATGTACCTTTTAAAATTCATTTATTTCATACTTTTATTTTTTAATTCATTTCTTTTTTTTCATTTTGATTTTTTAATTTTTTTTTTTCATTTGACTAGCTTAAAATTAAAAGTTTAAGTTCGTTTCGTTTACAAACTTAAAATAAAATATTTCATTTACTTACATATCGACTGTTGAGTGGAAGATCGACCTATCTCGGCAGCCTGTTCGAAAACGCCCTATCTCAAAAAACTTTTCAAGAACGCCCTATTTCAGAATTTTATTGAAAAACACTCTTTCTCGGAATTTGGTTGAAGAACGCCCTATTTCAGAATTCGTTTCAAAAATGCCCTATCTCACTTCAATATGTATTACCAATGTGCTGATATAGGGCGTTTTTGAATCGGCAGCTGAGATAGGGTGTTTTTGAAACGAATTCTGAAATAGGGCGTTCTTCAACCAAATTCTGAAATAGGACGTTTTTGAAAAGTTTTTTGAGATATCGCGTTTTCGAACTGGTTACCGAGATAGGTCGATCTTCCACTCAGCAGTCGATATTTACTTCTATCTTCCCATGCAGGTACATACAGTCACTTACAAAACTGAGTATACAGTGATTTTCTTTTTAAATACCTATTAACAATGCCTTTCGTTGGCCTTTCGTTTCAAATTAAATTTTTAAATTCATTTATCTTATTCTAATCATAAATTTAATTTACTTATACTCTATTTATGTACATCCATATATACATTTTTAAAATAAATGCATTAAATTAAAATTTCATTTACTTTTGTTCTATAAACAACATTTTCAAAATTTAATTTTTCGTAATTTCATACTTTTTTTTAATTTTTTTTTGTAAATTTATTATTAAAATATACAGCCTTGGCCAAAAGTATTAGGTACCCCAATATAACACAATTTTTTTTTAATTTTTCTTTTGTTTATTTAATATTTAATATTTTTTTTATAAACTCCTGGCTCACTATTTAACAAAAAAACACATAAATCCAAATTCTAAACTTAGTGAAAAAAATATAACAGTTCTGCAAACTTTAACCAACATTTCCAACTTTTTATTAAGAAGGTTTGGAAAAAATTAGGTATGCAGTTTTGTAGCCCATAAAATTCTAGTATACATAGTAGTATTTAGTAGTTATTAAAGAATCCCGTTCGTTTTTGATGATTTTTTTCGTTGACGGTGTCATACACTTTCATCCGTAAAATGTTTTTTATATACAAGAAAATGCCCAATACCGTCAACGAAAAAAATCGTAAAAAACGAACGGGATTCTTTAATAACTACTAAATACTACTATGTATACTAAAATTTTATGGGCTACAAAACTGCATACCTAATTTTTTCCA